CAGCCAATGTCGACTGGCAACTACCCGGAGGAGAGGCTTCTCGGTGGCTGCTCCGACCCTCTGGAACGAACTCCCCGTGGAGATCCGGACCCTCACCACCCTTCAGACCTTCCGCGCTGCCCTTAAAATCTGGCTGTCCCAGCAGGCCTGGGGCTAATGACTTTAACCCCACCCGAATGGTATGACTGTTGTGCTTTTTTTAACAATGTACTGTCTTCTTGTTGTAACTTGTTTGTCTTCCCCTCCCCCTGAAATGTGAGCCGCCCTGAGTCCCCTCAGGGAAAAGGGCGGCATACAAATAAAGTATACAAATACAAATACTGCCCACCTCCTAAGATTCTAGGTGGTTTATAGTAATAAATGCCAAAAAGACAAATTGTCCACAATCCCAAAACAAAGAAATTAATTGGGTAATTAATTGGGTTAAGAAAGCAAATTCTTCTCAAGCCAAAACAACAACAAAACTCATATATAAATGGTAGCTCTGCCCAAATCTAAGAAAACAGTGTTAACAAATCATGATTCTCATATTCATGTTTAAACAAAACAGCTTTAATAGTCATATAGAAGTTCAATACTGGAATAATTTACTTTGAAAATTGCTACAAATGTATTGAGATTTGTTTTTACAATTATAGAGGACTGGAGAATATTTAAAATATTCCATTCTGATTTATTTCTAACTAATGGTCTTGACAATTAATGTAATTTTTGCAAGTTAAATAATGAAAATTTTTAATTCCAGGGCCCAGTTTCTACACTGGATAGTTTTTAAGAGATTAGCTGTACATTAATCAATACTTTTTGTTTTTATTTATTTAGGATAGGATGAAGTGGTTTAAGTAGAATATTCAGATTTACATTACTTTTTAAAGTTAAGGGCACATAGCTAGTATATCACACATGCCAAATTATTGTCTCTTTCCTCCCTTATATTGTTTAAGGAAACTACCATTTTTCAATTGAAGAAGCAATGGGGAAAGTTAGTATTAATCATACAAAACCTAGATATTTAATGTAACCTTGAAGGATGTAAACATTTCAATTAAAATATAAATGTATGAATTTGATTGATCAGGAGAATTCTGTTGAATGATATGTTAGAAGCTGAAAAAGACAGGAAGATGAGAGAGGGAATGGTAGAAGCAAGAAAATAGGCAAAAAAGATTAATTGTTTCGGTCTGCTAAAACTTCCCAATGTTCTCTTTGATTTTTGTAGACTGTTTCCAGTTCTTTGCAATGATCAAGTTAGGATTCTCATCAGGTCAAGTTTTATACCAAATTGCAAGCATGAGTTATGTGTGAACAAACAACATTTATGAAGGCACTTTGCAAGAGACATTTCAGTAATTAAAAATTTCTGGGAAACAAAATATGAACTGGATTCAAATTGATTTGTAAAACTGTAACCTTGTCTGATTTTGTAAGAGGATGAGTAGCTGATTAATAGCTGTTGCTCTGGAAAGGAATAGAACCATGCTGATATAGTGGTTAAAGCAGTGGTACTCAACTATTTTTTCACCCCGGGCCCCATTTTTATGCCCATGGATCATAGCCACAGACCACCAAGACTTAATCTAAGATTTAAATCATAACATTTCTCCAAGCCTTCGCTTGCAGCTCCTCCCCCCCCCCCACAAAGGATCTGTGAACCACAGATTGAGAAACACTGGGTTAACACATCAGATTTGGACACGGATATCCAGGTTCAGATCCATCTTTAGCCCTGGAAATTCACTCAATGCTTTTGAGCCAGTCATTTGCGGGCTGACCCATCCTATCTTGTGGAAGAAAATGGGATGAGGATGTAGATAATCTTCCTTGGGCTCCTGACAGAAGAAAATATATAAAGCAAATAAATAAATATAACCTCAAGGTTGTCTACGTGTGAAAATATGGTGTCTATTCAGTGAGATGGTTTAACAGCATTTAGCTTTCTTTAAATAAATTCTACAGTAAAACATTACAGTGCTTTGGGAATAACATAGAACAGTTACATTGACCAGTACAAAGGTGTGAAAGTAACATCTGTCTACATCTCTTTAAAACATTTAGGTCTTCTGTGGGATTGTGGGGCCAGCAGCTTTAAAGAGTTGTATACAGGTGCTATATTTATGCTTCTGCATATTTCTAAAATACTGTGCAGCATTATTCCACAGTTCAATATATAACACTTGTACATTATTTCTACATTCCTCTTTCCTAATCTCATTATATTGTATGTTGTTCCTTGTGAGAAAATATTAAGTATCAGGATCTATAAAAAACAGTGTATTTACAGCAATTCTTTTTGTGTGTTCTTTATAAGACTAAAACTGCAGTTTTTGATATCTAATCCCTTGATAGCAACTAAATTTGGAAAATCTCTATTGTTAAATGTCACTTGCTCAGTTATAGTAGTCAGTTGATTGATTGTCTCCCTTCTGATGGTGATTGTCATATCTCATAATCTCAATTTCTTGTCAATTGATTGCCAGATAGAAGCGACAGCCAAGGAGGGCCACCAGTGTCCGTGGGGGCCAGCCAGCGCATGGCGTTAACTTTCCCCCTCTGTAAGTGTTTATTTATTTTTATTACTGTTGTGGGATATTTTGGAAAAACAGTAGAAGCCTCATCAATTTGCGTAGATGATATTAGGGCAGTAATAAAAGATATTGTTAAGGCATAAAAAGATACAATATATTTAAAGTCTCACTACTAACCTATACTATAGCTTTTGATTGAAAATTGCTGAGAACAAATCTGTCATTGTTTTATCAAGGGTAGTTAATACTGTATATCCTTAGTTTTAGGGGAAAAGTTTCATTATAAGCAGAAATGGGTAGTTGCTAAAAGTTATGGATGAAAATCACTTAAAAATTATCCTTAGAATACTAGGTGAGAAATGAAAATGAAAGAGTCACTTTCGTTGGGTCAGACAAATGTTTCATCCTGGATCTTACAGTAATCATTAATGAATGCCAGTAGGATTATGTACCTGCTCTGCAAAATTTGTAGCTCATATCTCTAATGTCATGTTTCTGAGTAATGGACCAAATCAATCCAGGACTCTGAGGCTGTGGTTTTTCTCAAAGATCTATTTTATTGGGTATATCATATCGGCACATTTGAACATATTTTCGTATCTTTTTGTTCTTTTTCATTGCTGATCACCAAAATTGTCTTCACACCAGATGCCATGTCCTGAGGAATCCCAAGTAGCTGGCTTGCTTGGAGTCAGGAGTCAGAGCCTTGACATTAAGCCACATTTGAATGTGCCTATATCCGGGATGGCGAACCTATGGCACGCATGATACAGGTGGCACGCGGAGCCATTTGTCAGGGCACGCGAGGTGTTGTCCTGTCAGCTGGCCAGCGCGCATGTGCACGCTGGCCAGCTGACTTCAGCCTTTTCTTCTTTTTTTAATATATTTTTTTTTATTACATAAACAACACATACACACAACAATAAAAAAACAAGAAAAAAAAACCACAAAAAACCCCCATCATCACATACAGCATGTCATTTGGTTACAATTGTTTTAACATTTAACAATCTTATACATTTATTATTTCATTTAATAGGTTATAATATACAGTTTGGGTNGCAGCGAGGAAGGAGTCTCTAGTCGCTGCAGCAGAAGTAGTGGTGGCAGCAGAAACATTATCCTGGTCAGTTCTGGCTGTCCCTTCCCCGAGCATGTCCCGTTGCTGATGCTGCTTTTGGTGAATCCAGCTCGGTGGTGATGGCAAGAAGCGACTCTCAGCGATGGCAAGAACTCTGCTGCCGAGCCGAGAAGCGATGCCTCTGAGGGGCTGTCCCCAGATGGCACCTGCTTTGCCTCCTTCTGCCCCACGGATAAAAGAACAACTCCACTCTCCACTCCCACTTTCCTCAGCCTACAGGCTATTCAGAAGTGGAGGAAAGTGCCCCTCTGCTGCCCCTCCAGGAGGACCACTGTGCATCCTCCATGGGTAGGAGGTTGAAGGGGAAATCACAGGTGAAGATTGGTGAGGGGTTTTGGCAGAGACCAAAGTTTTAGGGTTTTTTTGAGGGGTTGTAAAGGGTTAGGGGTGCAAGGGTCTTGTAACTTGACAGCTTTAAGACTTGTACGCTTCAAATGCCAGAGTTCCTGAGCCAACATTTTGGTTGCTAAGCAAGACCGTTGTTAAGTGAGTTTCACCACATTTTACAAGTTGACCATGCCCACCTGGTCACATGATTGCCAAGCCATGGCCACAAAATAGGTCACAGCCACAGAATAGATAGTAAAAAAATTTCAAACCCACACATGATGCAGACCAATTCCAGACAAAAATATCCATCTCCCCACAGTCAATCATTCTAAATAAGAGTTCAGTGAATTTAAGGCTGGACATTTCAGGAGGCTACCAGAATATAGCAACAACAGTTGTTGTTAGCTGGAACACAGGTGCTTCCAATGTGGAGGATAGTAATGAGAAAATATTTCCCTATGGATGCTTTTTGATGAGATCTGTGAATTAAAAAGTATATTTGAACATATATTAGAAACAGCTGTATGATTTGATTTAACTACACTTTATTCTTTTCTCTCCTTTAATCTTCCTCTTGAAATAAAATGTAGCCACTGTTATGAAAAATTGCACTGAAATCATCTTCTTTGAAAAAAATATTTTTCTTTTCCTGGTGCATGACGACAAAATAAGCTTTTCGCCCAGATAGCAGTTTGTGAAAGTTAAGGAATAGAAGGAGAATTGAGATAACCCCGTGATCACATGGAAGTAAGATTAGTGGCCACATGTCTCACTGTGTTGGGAACAATGTATAGATTGGGAAATGAATGGATTGACAACCTGAAAGGAAGAGAAAATTGTTGACTGTGTGTGAGGGAATATTAATGATATAAAGGTGATCAAAGACTTCTGTGTTTTCAAAGCCTTTGTGCTAAATATGTAGACATGGATTTTTCTTTCATTTTGGAAACGCTATAATCATTTTCTAAACACTCTTGATCTCCCATCTAGCTTGGTTGCAGACACATTGCCTCTATTCGGCCTCCTCCCATCCTCTTGCCACACAGAAAAGTTTGTTGATATAGCTTTGGGGAATTCCTTCCATTTTGCCAAATAGAACTTTGAGAGATGACTTAAGAGGCTAAAAATATTACTTTGTTAAAAACTGGGTTTTTTTTTTAAAAAAAGAAGGATATTGGGTTACTTTTTAATTGCCTGCAGACTTCAAGGCACAGTAGATATTGACCTGTTGGCACTAACCTCCCATGCTTCTGTGGTGCCCCTGCAGTTGGTGTGATTTCCATAAAAAGTATCTAGAGTGAAATAAAAATAAATAAATCAGCTTAATGCTAACATGTCTAACTATTTAATTGAGAATGCAATATTTCTCAAAGTGTTTTCTTATGCAGTACAAAGTAAAATAGTCCATATAGGTGGAACGTAGATAAAGAGAATATGCTAATTTTGCTATGGTATTTGTATGGTAGTTATATGGCTATGGTATTGGTATGTACTTAGAAGCAATATACAGGTTACGTATGAATGTTATGAAGTGATTGAAAGGAATAAAAGATGGCCCTGAGATTCACCAATATTATACTGTTTGTTGAAGTGTCTAGAATCCCTATTTGCATGTTTTTNAATGTACTGTCTTCTTGTTGTAACTTGTTTGTCTCCCCCCCCCCCGAAATGGGAGCCACCCTGAGTCCCCTCAGGGAAAAGGGCGGCATACAAATAAAGTATAAATGAAATGAAATGAAATGAAATAAATCAGTTAAAGTCCTATATACACTTCAAATAACACCAAATGTTCAAGCTGCTTGACGTTCGCTAAATCCCATAATTCCATTAACTTCCTGAACATGGTTAGTTTTCCTTTTCTTTCCCTTACTCACTTCATATTCTGACAGGAGGTTGATGCACTTTGAAAGGTACCTTCATGGGGTCAGTGTCAAAGAAACAAATCCACAAAAAACAGGCCCAGGGGAAGTCGCTTAAAAGCTTCCCCCAGTGTCAGCAAAAAAAAGCCTGTTTGAAACTTACATCCTATAATGACAGAAGAGTTTAGTTTCTTTGAAGGGACAATGAAGGAAGTAAAAACCATGAAATTATGTTCTAGAATTGTTGTTTGCAAAATCATGCCCCCTGTTAAAATCTCTCATAAAAGCCTCACACATAGTTGGTTCCATATGTACTCAAAACCTCATTGTTATGACTGTTGAAAGGCATAAGTAGTTAATAGGTTGTGGTTTGGCAGTGACCAGGGAGATCTTAAGACCCAGATTTTTCCTTTCAAATTGCTAATTAACCAGTTTAATAATAAAATGGTTTGAATTTGACCAAAGAACTCGCTTTAGCCACTATGTAGCCTTTGGTGCTGTTGGTTATAAACTTTGGAATTAAATATTTGTGCCAACAAAAATGCAGCCACAAAGATTTAGTTGGATTGCTGAGAATGCCCTCTGAAGGAGGCTGAAAAATGGTACTAAACTTTATGTGCATCCCTGTTTCTTCATGTTGGATGTTCATGTTCTACCACCAGTGGTGATGGAGTAGCTTGTTGGAAAGGACACAAAATGTTCAAGGAGTGAAAAAATATTTATTAACAGGAGATAATTTTTCCCTTTTCACAAGATGAATAACCCAATACTCAGGAAATTCCCGGTTGGGAATTTTGAAGTCCTCAGGTTATGATAATTTGTTCAGTGACCATTCAAAGTTATGATGGTGCTAAATAAAGGGACTTATGATTTGTCCTACAGTTTTGACTGTTGCGCCACCATCCTGATAGTCATATAAACCAAATTAAAAAGCTTGGGAACTAGCTTGCACTTACAACTAGTTGTTGAGCCCTGGGGTCTGATGATCGTTATTTGCAATCTTGACCTTGACTTAAAATCAATGGGGAAGCCGGCAAGGAAGGTCACAAGTCATTCAGATAAATCTTCCTCATATCTGGCCTTTCTTCACTTGCATGCACCATGTGCTCTCCCCCCCTCTCCTTTTACTCATATTTACCCATGCCGTCTTTCACTGGCCTTCCTGAAGTTGCACTACAGTAGTTCTAAGTGTAAAAATTGATCATAAATCACTTTGTACATTTATTTATTATTTATTAGTTTGTCAAACATGTACAAGATAGCAGGTATAAATATAAACATGGATATGAATGAAAGAAATGAATAC